ATGACAACAAGTGACAACATGTAAATAAAAACAACATAGCATGTAAACAAAACAAAAATATAAAACGTAAACATAAAACATGACAACATGTACGTCAGGAAACCAAAAAAAACCGTTGCAGATGTTTTAAGGGGCAATTGTATTCAATTTCTGCTACTACCACAGTACTGTTACTTTGACGAATATGTTGTGTACAAGTACATAGTGCAAAAAGTACACACAGTACACATTGTGTAGACAGAGGTACTTTTGTAATATTGGAGAATATGTTTTCATATTAAACAGTAAAACAGGTGCATTGTGGGTGGACAATGAGTTGGCAGCAGCCTCAGTGTCTTATGGGTGATTGACAGGAAGTGTCAGTTGCCTTGGTAACATGTAGAGGAGGAAGTAGCTCCGTCTTTGAACTAAATGACAAACAGTAATCAGTAATCAACTATTGATGACATCACTGATTGAAACACTTGATTGGTGTAGACGCAATTTTGCTCTAAGGTGAGGAAAGCAGACAACAATGAGTCTGTCGAGATTCAAAGATTTATTACTGAACAATATGTCAAATTAGAATGAACAACCAGCAATCAACACAATGATCATAAGCAGAGGCAAGGATCAACACATTACTGTTTGGGCAAATAGGGTGCAGCCTCTCTCAACCACAACGGTATCAAGAGTCTGGACAAGCTCCAATCTCAAACTCAGCTCTTTTATACAGTGACTATCACGTACACATGTTTAAGCAGACAGTTCAACTTTCATCCAGGGTACAAAGTACGTTTATCTTGCTTAATCATTAAGTGTACATTATTTGCGGAGATCAGTTCATACAGTTTGTTCATCCATTAAAAGAGAACATCCAGTCCCATCAAAAGAAAACGTTCATTACAATTGGCCCAACTAGGACAAAGACGTCAAAGAAAGAAGAGCATATTTCTTTAAACAAATGACAATTTCTGAAATCATTTTTCATAAAATCAATTGAAGATTGATAAAACATTTTTGTTGAAATAATAACTGGTTTGGCTAATTCTTTGCTCTCTACATTGTTCTATAAAATGTTCTATATAATGTGTTTGCTAGAAGAAATGTGTTTAGCAACATAAAACAACATTATTAATGAAAATATATTTTGTCTGTTTTTGTTGTCATTGATTTAATTTTTGTTTGTTGATGAAACTTACTGAGGTCTCGATGTTGTGAAAGAGTCTTTGAAGGATCCAACCAGTGCTGAAAGATCAATCAAACCCCATGTGTGGAGGCCACAGTCCTCGCTGCATCAGACGGCCTGAGCTGCAGGTCAGTCCCCCTCCCTGCCTCCACATCTCCTGTCTCTCTCCTGTCCTGTCAATAAAGGCACAAAGAGCCCAAAAAATATACTAACCCCAAACTGATCAATACATTTCTCATATTCATAACATACTTTATTCAGCTCGTTCATGTTTACTCACCGTCTGCTGTTTGTTGTCACAGAATCTCAGACCAAAGAATTTGACTTCGACCATGTTCAGGTGTGAAAATACCTGCTGCAAAATGGCCGCCACCTTCGATGAGTTCTAAAATAAATGTACTTCAGGTTGGGAATGAGCGACGCAAAGTGTTCTCTGTCCTCTGGTCTCTGTCCTCTGGTCTCTGTCCTCTGGTCTCAGTCCTCTGGTCTCTGTCCTCTGGTCTCTGTCCTCTGGTCTCAGTCCTCTGGTCTCTGTCCTCTGGTCTCTCCCTACTGGTCTGGACTGTCCTGTCTCTCCTCCATCTACCTGTGGAAGGACTACTCCAGTATCTCAGGCTCCGCTCTCAGCGGTCCAGATCTCCCCCGGCAACTCTTCGTCTCCATCCAGACATCGGCTTCCAGCATCGCCCGAGGTTCATCCACCGGTTCTCGGCGGGGTTTCCTCTTCACCGGCTCCAAAGGGATTACCTCCTTCTGGTCCTCCACAGCCATAAACACCGGCCGGCCTGGTTAGGTCGGCTAATGCTCCTCTCTCCAGCGACAACACCAGCGTCAGCTTCGGTCTGCTGAACATCCGCTCCCTCACGGGTAAAGGACATCTCGTCCAGGATCTCCTTACTGACCGTAAGCTCGATTTTCTTTGTTTGAATGAGACCTGGCAACTACCTGGTGACTTTTCCCAGCTCAATGACTCTACTCCTCCGGGGTTTGTTTACTTTTGCAAACCTCGCGGCTCTGGTCGCGGAGGTGGTCTCGCGATACTTTTCCGCGAGAAGTGGAAGGTTCCAGTTTCTGTGCCTCCTCTCTCGTGATTAGAATGTCTTGCCTGTCAAATATCTGGACCCACTCCCACAATCATTGCCACTGTCTACCGTCCCCCCAAGCCTCACTCTCTGCCCTTCTCACCCACCTCTCCACTCTCTCTCTCCCCTCACCAAAGACCTTTCTTCATCACTCGACAGTTTTGGCTTCCAGCAGTTCTCAGACTTCCCCACACACATAAAAGGTCACACCCTGGACTTAATTTGCTGCTCTGGTCTCACCCCCTCCAACTGTACTGCTGATCAACTCCATATTACAGACCATTTCCTCCTCTCATTTAATGTCACCCTCCGTCTCTCCATTTCCAAGACCCCCCGTGTCATTTCATTCCGCAACATCAAGGTCATCAACAAGGACTCCCTCTCCTCCTGTATCGCCACCCTGACACCGGACTCTTCCTTCAGCCCTGATGATCTTGTCACCCTGTACAATAAGGGTCTTACCAACATTCTCAATTGACTCGCTCCTGTCTAATCTCGTTCTGTTTTCTTCACTCGGTCTGCTCCCTGCTTCACTCCCGATCTCCGCGCCATGAAATCCAAAAATCGACAGCTTGAAAGACTCTACAGGAAATCTGGTCTTACCATCCACAAAGACATGTATACTGCTCAGCTATCTCTTTATAAGGACTCCATCTCTCATGCTAAATCACAATACTACTCTGGACTTATCTGCTCTAATGCAGGCGACACAAAGACTCTCTTTTCCGTTTTCAACAGCATCATCCAACCCCCTGACTCCTCCCCCCCCCACTTCTATTCCACGGACACCTGTAATTCTCTTCTCCGGTTCTTCAATGAAAAGGTCATGAAAATCCACCAGCATCTGGGCTCCACAACCTCACCCCTCCCCTCCTCTGAACTTCTTCCGCCCTTTCATCCATTTTCCACCTTTGAACTCCCTCGTCCCTCAGTAATATCTGAGCTCATCACCAAGTCCAAGCCTTCTACATGTCAACTGGATCCCCTCCCCACAGTCCTGGTCAGATCCTGCCTCCCCTCTCTGCTCCCCCTCATATCAGCTATTATCCACTCCTCACTGTCCTCTGGAATTGTTCCCACTCTCTTCAAATCTGCAGCCGTCAGCCCCATCCTGAAGAAGTCTGGTTCAGATCCTAATAACTTCAATAACCTCCGTCCCATTTCTCACCTTCCTTTCATCTCCAAAATTTTAGAGAAAACTGTTGCTTCTCAGCTCCACACCCATCTCACCCAAAACAGCCTATATGAACAATTCCAGTCCGGTTTCCGTCCCCGCCACAGCACAGAGACAGCCCTGATTAAGATCACAGATGACCTCCTCATGGCATCTGACTCCGGTTTGATCTCCATCCTCATCCTCCTCGATCTGAGTGTGGCCTTCCACACCGTTTCTCACCCCATCCTCCTCAGTAGACTTTCCTCCATTGGCATCTCTCACACCCCCTTCTCTGGTTCCACTCTTACCTCACTGGCCGCACTCAGTTCATTCAGCTCAAGTCCTTTACCTCACAGCCCTCCCCCGTTACTTCAGGTGTGCCCCAGGGCTCCGTCCTGGGGCCCCTCCTCTTCATCATATACCTCCTCCCCCTCGGGAATATCTTCCGTAAATATGGTATCCAGTTTCACTGCTTCGCGGATGACACCCAGCTCTATCTTTCCAGTAAACCGAACTCCACTCTCCCTCCCTCCTCCCTCACCCACAGCCTTTCTGAAATCAAATCCTGGTTCACCGCAAACTTCCTCAAATTAAACAGTGATAAAACTTCTTATTATCGGCACCAAATCCTCCCTATCCAAAGCTGACAGTTTTTCCCTCACCACAGACAGCTCCACAGTGTCCCCCTCCCCACAGGTTAAGAGTCTGAGTGTCACCCTCGACAGCTCACTTTCTTTCCACTTCCACATTAATAACATCACTCGGTCTGCATATTTCCATCTACGCAACATTAATCGTCTCCGCCCCTCTCTCACCCCTCACACCACTGCCATTCTAGTTCACACCCTCGTCACCTCGTGTATTGATTATTGTAATTCACTCCTCTTCGGTGTCCCCCACAAATCCCTCCATAAGCTCCAACTGGTTCAAAACTCTGCAGCCCGTATCATCACCCGAAAACCCCTCCTTTCACCACATCACCCCCGTCCTCCAGCAGCTCCACTGGCTCCCAGTCAAATTCCGTATCACATTCAAAATCCTTCTCTATACTTTCAAAGCCATCCATAATCTCGCCCCCCCCCATCTGGCTGATCTCCTCCACATTACCACCCCCTCTCGTTCCCTCCGGTCTTCCTCCTCCCTTCACCTCTTTATGCCATCCGCCCCCCTCAGCACCACGGGGAGCAGAGCTGTCAGCTGCTCTGCTCCCCAACTCTGGAACTCTCTCCCACCAGACATCCATAACAATGTTTCTTTACCCCAGTTCAAATCAAGACTCAAAACTCATTCAATCTCATTCAATCATGCATCATTCAGTTTCAATCTGCATATTCGCTATAATTTCATTGTTTTCTTTTTAACTGTCTGTTGTTTTTATTATTTTTATTGTGTTTTTAATCTTCTGTAGAGTGTCCTTGAGTGCTGTGAAAGGCGCTGCCAAATAAAATGTATTATTATTATTATTATTATTATCTTTGGACTTTGATATTTGAATCAGAATTCCAGATTCTGTGCGTGTGTGCGTGTGTAATAAACCACCTTCAGTATTTTCATATTTTATTTAATAAACAAATAAAATAAATTTCATCTACTGGATGCGACATTCAGATTTACCTTCAAAATAAAAGTCTGCCATGCAGTCAAAATGACGAAGAAGGAATGCACAACACTATCTCTAATAAGGTATTTCACAATAAAAAGCCTTCACATAAACTAAACATATTACTTCCTGCTGAATTTTAACAAAAAATGGTCATAACCTTCAAAAGGAAAGCCCTAGGGAACATTCTGTTACTGTTACTACCTTCAAAATAAAATTCTGACATTCAGATGAAAAAATATGAATTTCAGTGATACAAAATCAGTCAAAATAAAAGCCCTAATTAACAGACATTAGTATTCTTTAAAATAAAAGCACTCAAACTATAAAACTATGGCTTCAGGTCAAGGGTTAGGGTAGGGTTTCACTTAGGGTTAGGGGTTAGGGGTTAACCCCTAACCCTAACAATAACCCAAAATAAGAGCAGGCAAGAATAATCAATATTTTTTTTTAAAATCATAATGGCCTTAAAATTATAATACAATTTGCTTTTTCATCTAAATTAATATCTTATATTGACAACAGTTCACAAATGATTTCTATATGCAATAAAATATTTATTATATTAAATTATAATCAATAAATAGAAATAAGTCATAAGAATTAAAGTTCTGACGTATGAAAAACAAAATAAAAAGAGATCATTTAAGGAGAGAGGTTTCACTGCGACAGGTTACTCAGACTCCGATTGGTGGAGAGGAAATTTCCCATGAAGCTCGGCACCTGCAGACCCGTCGTTATGGTGAAACCACCGCACCAAACCTGCAATGCAATTTTACTGCTGTTACTACTGATAGTACTGTGATACCAAGAGTACAAGTACTTCACTGCAGAGTACTGCACAAATACACAGGACAGATAAACAGTGAAATACTCAATGCAATAAACAGTACTACACACATGTACACACACTTTATATGTTTATATTTCATACATTCAATGTTAGTAACAGTCCTCCAGTCATTCACTAAACACAACTTCTATTAGACCAAAGAAGAAGCGACAACATTATTATTAAACCATGAGAAAAGAGTCTACGTTTCAATTAAAGCAAAAATACTACAGTACTACTACAGTATAGTACTGCTGTAGTAGTACTGTAGTACTCACAGTGAAGGCAGAGACAGTGTAGGATTACTGTAGTTTTACTGTAGTATTACTGCAGTACTCACAGTAAAGGCGGGGACAAGCGGCTGGCTAAACTTTGTTTTGAAGGAGTGAAGAAGACGAAGTCGATTGACGTCAATAAATGACAAATCGCCTGAAACACAGACACATCAGATCAATGTGAAGACAATGACAAGCTGATAGAAAGCTCAGGTGACACTGTAAACGCTGTGATGGTTAAAATAAGTTGTGAAATACAGTGAGAGGTTGAGCTGAAAGCAGGTGAAGTGTATGTGTACTGTGAACAGTTGAGTGAACTGAAGCTAGCTGAAGCGTGAAACTGAAAACAGTTAAAGAGTAAAAATAAGTTTAAAAAAAAGTCAGGTGAAAGCAATTGAAGTGCTAAACTTCATAAATTTTAATAAAAACAATATAAATATTTCTTTATACCGTTGTCGTAGTCACAGTAGATTCCAATTCGTTGAGGCAGTGGCCAATCCAGTGCTTTCGCTCGGTTGTTGTGTTTGATGGCGAGCGAGCTCTGCAGCCATTGGCTAGCGTGGAGACACCACGAGCTGGCGCTCTTCCCTAATTGGTCAAAGCGGCCCAGGCTGGCCCGATAGGCCACACCCACACTGAATGATTTCCAGTCCGCCAGGGGGCGGAGCTCCCAGTAGTGGCAGCCGCCAATCATCTCCTGGTCACCTAGGAGGTGGAGGAATAAAAAATATTCAAAGTCTTGAAAATAGAAAACATGTATTTTTAGTGTGAAGAAAATTTTAAATAACAAAATGTTTTCAAAATAAAAGCCAAAGAGAAAAGGCACCAGTCTTTTCTGTTGTACCTTTAAAATTTAAGTCTACTATTCTGATTATTCTTGTTATAAATGTCAAAATCAAAGCCCATGCTAATAATTAACATTGGTAATCAATGATAGAACTTATATTTTCAATTAATGTTTGATGTCAACAATTCACAAGTATTTTGTACATTTAAATTATAATTCTAATATTTATTTTCTCTAATTAAAATTATTATGAGTATGTTAATGTATGTTAATAAATCGATTTCCTCCAGAGTTTATATTTAAAGGACATTCATTGGCAGGATCAGTGTAGTACCTAGTACTGTGTACGACTCTCCAGCGAATCTGTCACGTCCAGCTCGATTTCCTGCCGTCTTATTGGGTGACGGTGTGGCGCTTCTGCTGCTAATGAAATAAAATACAATAAAGTAAACATGTTACAGGCGAAAGAGTGAAAAACACTTTAACTTTCCAGAGAATAAAAATAAAAGTCCAGCAACGTGAACAGCCAATGAGGTTGTGTCGAAGCAGTGATGCAGCAGAAAAGATGAAAACATGAATAAACAACACAAACATTGTAATACTGGAAAATGGAAATTAATTTGTGTCAGAATTTGGACAAATTTGTACAAAATATACAAAAGTCTTACATCAAAACTTCTATTTGATAATAGTGTAAACATAATAGTTTTCATAAAAAATACAACTTTACTTTAATTAAAAACACTCATTTAAAGTTTTAACATAAATTACTGTAAAATGACTAAAATATCTCTCACCCTGTAATTGTCTTATCAAACAAATCTACAGGAAGAAACCGGTGATTTATTTTGATTTAAGTTTAACCTGTTTACAGATAAAATAATAAAATAACAACGTACAAATATACGTTAAAAACATGTTGGAGTTCAAAAAATACAAACATGAAGCTATTATTAAAGAATTAAATGCTGATGTGATGTCAGCAGTGATGTCAGCAATGATGTCAGCAGTGATGTGATTGGCTGCATGAAGGAGAGATGGTGGATGAAGAAGGTGACTGGTGACACAGCAGTTGCTAAGCAACCAGACAGCGAAGACAGTCTCTACCTGAGGGAGTCGGAGAGGACGCAGTACGGAGACTGAAGAGGGACAAAAAGGTTAAAGAACAAACAAACAAACAGCAGCAGAGAAAATACTGAAGAAACAAGTTTTAAAGTTATAACTACCTGTCCACCTGTTTTTGTCCACCTGTACCTGTCCCACCTGCACCTGTCCACCTGTACATGTTCCACCTGTACATGTTCCACCTGTACCTGTCTACCTTTACATGTTCCACCTGTACCTGTCCCACCTGCACCTGTCCACCTGTACATGTTCCCCCTGTACATGTTCCACCTGTACCTGTCCACCTGTACATGTTCCACCTGTACCTGTCCCACCTGCACCTGTCCACCTGTACATGTTCCACCTGTACATGTTCCACCTGTACCTGTCCACCTGTACATGTTCCACCTGTACCTGTCCCACCTGCACCTGTCCACCTGTACATGTTCCACCTGTACATGTTCCACCTGTACCTGTCCACCTGTACATGTTCCACCTGTACATGTTCCACCTGCACCTGTCCACCTGTACATGTTCCACCTGTACCTAGTAGTATTAATAACTATTGCGTACTAATGTAATAATACAGTAATAACAACTGAGTACTGCTTGGTCAGTTGTGATGACATCATGAGATGGTCCCTGGTTATATATAAAGATGTTTTGTAAATAAAAATGTAAAATATTCACCTTATTTCCTCTTTGTGTTTTTGTCTGTTCCCTCCAGTGTTGTTGTTTATTATTGTATTTATTGTTGTTGTTTATTGTTGTGCTAATGTATTGTTTATGAGTTTATGATGTGTTTTAACCAGCCTGTGGACAAGACAGATTATTATTATTATTATTATTATTATTATCATTATTAAATCACATAATGTATCATGTACCACATGTATGTATCAGTACTTCATGTACTTGTGCATCATTATTTTCAGAGCTGTAATATAAAGCTGAAGAATATTAGGCTTTGTATTAACTATCTATTAGTGTCTGATTGGTTCTCTTCATAATCAAATCATTATTATGTGTTTGTGTAAAATACATTTATAGTGTTTCTAATGATGACCTGCAGTAAACATGGCCATCTACACGTCAACAACAATTTGTATCTGAGTGACACAAATATATAAATAAAGTTTTAAAGAATAAAACCTGATGACATCATCACTGGCACATTTCTTCACCTGCTTTTACTTTCTTTGCCTCTGAGTCTGGGGTCATGACCTTTGACCCCCTGAGGCTCCCAAGTCACCGTGTCACCCTGAACCTTCAGCTCAGCGTGGGCCGTCGACGCATCGAAGCCAAAGTTAAACGCTGCAAATAAATAAATAAGAAAAGAATTTCATTTTTAACTTTTGGTTTTGATCTTTGAATTTCACATTTTTTATCTCTCTCTCTCATTTTGTCTTAATGTCTCTCGCCCTGAAATGAGGAGTTCAACTTTACTTCTGTTTTTACTTTATGTATTTGACACAGTGAGACCTCTCTTTCTTTTAACACAACTTTGTTGTCTGTCTCATTCTTTACTCCTTCAAACAATGTCCACTCATCCGTCCATTCAACCATTCATTCATTCATCCTTTTTTTCATCCATTCATTCAACCATTTGTTTGTTCACCTCTGGTTTCCATGGTGACAGGCTCAGAGAACTCTCCAGCTGCCGTTTTGTTTTTTGCTCGAACTCGAACGACGACAAAGCGAGAGTCAAACTTCAGACCTGAAAGACATTTTATATTTTATAATAAAACTATTCAATTTAAAATCCAATGAAATGGCATCCTGCAGAGCCGATGTCGTCCTGATGCTCCAGGTTAGGACAAGAATTAGATTAATTCCCTGTCCATACGGGCAAAGCGTAGACAGTAGTAGGACCCCAAGAATAAAGATTGATCTCCTTCCACACCAAAAACTATTAAAGTTGGGACCGAATCAGGTCCAGTGCTAGCTTAAGGTTAAGGCTAATGGTTAAGGTTAGGTTTACAGGCTATGGTGTTTAATGAGTCACAAATTTAAAAACATTCTAACTAAACTTATGGTTCAGTACTGTTCAGGGTTAAGGTTTACTGTGACCTCTGACATCTCACCTGAGATGGTGACCTGAGTCTCTGTGATGTCACAGATTTTTTCCCAGCATGCCTCTCCTGTGGCTCTCAGCGAGCTGTCGCGGTTCGTTTTTCTGTATTCGAGTTCGTAGCGTTCATTTGGTCCGTTGATACCCTCACTGTTGGCCTCACTGGCTGGTCGCCAGGCAACCGTGATGTTGTTGTCATAGACAACACAGCTTGAGAAGTCAATCTCTGGAGCTCTGGGTACTGTAAAAAATACACCGTCAAAACAAGAAACATTTTCAAGATGAAAGACAAACACAAATCAATAAATAACACACTGTAAATAATTGTTTTGACTGTAAAAATTCAAAATAATTATAAAAATAAATCTGAAGAAAGTTTAAAGAATAACTTTGAAATAGGTAGAGAGGATGAAAAGATTAAAATGATGAAACAACAAAATCAAATGATAGTGTTGTTTTATTGTTGATCTTTTGTTTATTATTGTAAAACTTTCATTTTTCATTTCTATTAAATTTTCTTTTGCCAGAACTTGATTTTTATTTCAGATATTTAATTTTGATCATTTAAAATTTTATTTAAAGACAAAAGACAAAGACAATAACATAATAAATAACAAGTAAATTAATTAATAAAATAATAAATAATAAACAAGTAGGAAATGCATTTCCTGACTAACAGCTGAAGTGTAAAACTGTGTTTTACCTGAAGAAGCTGAACTGTGGAAAAATGAATTCCCTGATGTCTCACCTGGCAGGAAGTGAAGTCGTTGAAGCCCCACCCTCTCCGCACTGAAGTCAACGGTGAATTGTGTCATGTTCTCCGACACTGCTGGACGAGTTGTCAGCCGAAACGCTGGAGCCATTGTAACCCTGGGAACAGGAGGGGGCAGGGTACCGAGGGGGAGGGGGGAGTGTTACGTGTTAGTGTTTTGGGGCGGGGTTATGATGTCAGGGGGCGTGGTTTACATGCAAATGATTTCAGAGCTGCAATTTATTTATAAAGCTTAACTTTGTTAGTTTAAACATGAAGAAGAAAGAAAAGAAGAAATTAAAATAAATAAATAAATAAAAGAATTTAGATAAAATAAATGATAAAAGTTTAATTCCAAAAACCAATGACTGCAGAAAATCAAATGAAAAATATAAAACAAAAATAGCAAAGAGAAAATAAAAGACCAAAACAAACAATAGATAAAGGAAGAAAAAGAAACAAAAACAAAAGAAAAATGACTAAATGATATAAAATGCGGCAACAACTGAACAATGACAATAAACAGGATGAAATTTAACTAAAAATGACAAAACTTCAGCATTTAATAAACTATATATAAATAAATATAAATATAAATTAGAACAGAAACTTTATTACATGTTCATATTAAAATATATTTTAACTGTGAACGAACCTTTCTTTGATTTGTTTTGCAGCCTGAAAATGAAACAGACAAAAGAAACTTTAAATAAGTAAGTCTTATTTAAAGTTTGATAATAATATCAAAGTTGTTTTATTCATGTTAATGTTTGTTTACTCTGTAGTTTGTCAACTACCTGCAGGAATTCTTCTTCAGTGGTGATGGTCAGTGTTTGATTTGCAAACTCCAGCAGTTCTTCACATGAAAGCAGAGCACACTTTCCCTCCGACAGCTGCTTCTGAAAAACAACAACAAACCAGAAAACTATTTTCAAAAACTCTGAAATAAACGGGAGATGACGAGACATAGACAGAAAACTGAGAGTTAAAAAAAATTGACAAAATGAGAAACTTAAAGTTTTAAAATGTCTAAAAACAACTAGCCGTAACATTTTATTTATTAAAAAACATAAGTTTGAAAATTAACAAAATATAAAATAAAAAAATATTGAGTCAAACTAAATAATTCAAATTCACCTGCAGCTCCGCCTCCTTTCTGCGCTTCTCCTCTTTGATGATGTAACGGAGCTCCGCCCCCTTCTCCTCCAGGGCCGAGCTTAGCTGCTCAAGCTCTGCCTCCAGATCTGACATCACCTTACATGACTCCCCCTGATTGGACAAAGTTTTTTGTTGTTGTTGTCACTATTTTTTTTACCTTAATATTTTCCCGCCTCTCTAAGCCCCTCCCCCTCAGCTTCTGACCTGCAGTCCTGTCAGTGTGTTGTCGACTGTTTCCAGGAAGTTTTGGAGCTCCTCGTTTTTATTGGCTAATGTGCTGATGATCCTGCGCAGAGCTTCCTGTTTACAAAACAAACAAAAACACAAACATGTCTTTTATTAAGACATTCACACAAATCTGTTTCCATAGCAACTCGAGTTCACCTGAACATCACCTTGTGTTTGTGACATCACCAGCAACCAGCTGTAACAAATTTACCTGAAAGTGTCCAACAGGTGAACGGATCAATCATCTGTGACATGTGACCTTTCACCTGCATTCACCTGACTCATCAATAATCTGAAAGGATTGATTAATTTATCAATAATACATGTTGAGGTTATTGGGGGTGTGGGGTGGTAGAGCGAGGTAGAGTTACACTGACAGAGAGAGAGGTCGACTTACATAGAGAATGAAGGAGGTGGAGTTACAGAGGAGAAAAAAAAACACCTGAACAGAAAGATTAATCAATAACCTGCTGATCAATACATTCTTACTGATACTGACTAGACCAGAGAGAGAGAGTCTTATCTGTAAATCCCTCATTCAGAGTGATGCTCACTCTACCAGAGAGAGAGAGAGAGAGAGAGAGAGAGAGAGAGAGAGAGAGAGAGACATAGAAACTGAACGGGAGAGAGAATGAACAGCTAACCGCTAACAGCTAGCTAATCCTCTCTATCGCTCACTGTCCGTGTGCTGTCTATGTGACTGAACCTCAGCAGACTGATCAGATATTATTGATCATCAATCGATCCGATTCTTACCTTCTGAGAGTCCATCACCTGAGAGAGAGAGAGAGAGAGAGAGAGAGAGAGAGAGAGGGAGAGAGGGGGAAGATGTGGGCACTGACAGGAAGTGAAGTCACATAACATCACAGCTTCACTTCCTGTCTGCACTGTCAAAATAATGGTCTGATACTGAGATGGCAACCCTCTGACGAGTTTTAGTGCGGATGTAATTTATTATTTTATTTATTTTCGGCTCAAAGTCTCAACACAAACAGTATTAATACACGTGACACAGCATTTCTCTATTTTATTCACTATTAAACATTAAATAATATAATAAGAATAATAAGAATAATGATAATAATAATGAGCTAATTTCTATATTCATATGAAGGTGTAAAATAGTAGAAATAACATTCATCATCTGAACACGTTTACATGTATTTTATTTTTAAAAACTGGTGAAATTTTGGAAACATTTTGACATTACAACAATAAAACACCAATAGTTTTTGATTTAGTCATACTGTAATATATACAGTGTATATTGACAGGTCAGTGTATAAATACACACACACATATATGTATATATATGTATATGGTATGTATGTTTGAACAGAACTGAATCCAATAAAAATGAAAATACAGAATTGGATGTTAAAAACTCAAAGTGGGTCCGTCAGTTTTTCTACAAGCTATGACACAATGATAATAATAATAATAATAATAATAATAATAATAATAATAATAATAATAATAATAATATAATAAACTTCTCACCTTTCAGCTGATGAAACCATTTTCCTCCAATAATAGCCGAAAACTTCTCCGACACATATTCACTAATTTATTTACAGTATTTATTTAATTATTAACGGAGAATACCTGGTAGGCGTGCATCAACATGGTCCATGCCTAAAGTCGTCACGGAACCCAAAACCACAACACACACAACAGACATGCCACGGAAACCCAGGCCAGCGTCCTGTGTTACAAGCTCCCTCCCACCTCAGGAAACGCCGCCCCTCACAAGCCAGAGGAAAGGATGTGCTCGCCCGCCGACGCGCCACCGGAGAGGTTGCCGAGAGTTACTGCGTGGAGGGACACGCAATCTCCGCCCCTCAAACTCTTGAGCATACAGGAATCACCATCGCTCTGCCTACTACAATCGACTACTCAGCCAAAGAACGCATCGCACCAGCGCCATACACTACCTCCTGGCTGCCGGCCTCAGCACCTCCACCCCAAAGGAGGCGCCGGACTTCCGACGGTGTGGAACGGTGATGACATTCCTTGCCGAGATGCAATCAGTGCCGCCAATGCCCAAAAAGACCAAACCCAGGAACCAATCAGAGCGGCAAGCAAATGGCGAGCATCTCCAAGCTCCTCCCGCCTCCCCCCTCCTCTTCCTCCTCCAGGCCCCCGCCTCCTCTTGGCTTCTCAGCAACAAAAGAAGAAGCCGACATCGCCATGTGAAAGCAATGCCCCAGCGCGGTGGCGTACAGTGTTCCAACGGACAACAGCCACTAAAGCAAAACAGGGTTTGCCTTCGACTCGGCGCGAATCGGACACTACACACACGCTATGAGGGGGAACACGTGCTGCTTCTTCACGCAACGACTCGCTGAGGCTCCTTGACTTTGACGAAGACGATGGCGGCGGCGACAAGACGAAGAAAGAAAACGAAAACAAAAGAAGTGAAGGCAGGAACGAGGAAGCAGCAGAACGGCGGCTGTCCTTCCCTCGAACCAAACCTGCGACAAATCAGATGGCCCGACGGACAGAGAGACGCAGAAGTTCGCCATCAGAGGACACGCCTGTCATGCTTTCTCCAGGAAACTCCTCGCTGAGACCTCGCTGTGAGCGACATCGACCAGGAAAACAACAACAAGGAGTTTGCGCGGCACACGGCCAGAGCAACAAGACGAAGGCAAAGCAGGAACAAGTCCTCCTCCCACGCATGCCGAGTCAAGCCCGCCCCCGCGCAGCCAGTTGGCTACGCCCCCAGCTTCCATGTGGGAGAGCACGCGCGTCCCTTCTTCTCCAGGAACCTCGTCGCTCTGCAGTCGTCGCTCGCACGTCCATCGATCCGAGGACGATCTGCCTGCAGGAGTGTATCAGCTCCCGCCATGCCGGAAGAAGAAAGAAGAAAGCTGCCTGCCGGCTGCTCTGCCGCCACCCCGCCGTCATAGAGCCAACAGCCCCCCTTCTCTTGTCCAAAGCCATGACGGCATTTTTGGCTGAGGAGGAGCCTTCAGAGGCGGCCGAGAAGACCCCGCCTCCACCGGATTCAGAGTCGTTTGTTGAGGAAGGCGATACCAAGAGGGTCGCCAACCCGGTCCATCGTCCAGCAGCCTGAACGCTGCCGCAGCTGCCTATCCGTCATCTGACCCGCCACCGCAGTCTCCAGACTCTCAGACTCGGTCCTCTCCTTCGAAGGTCTGTAGGTCACCCATTCCGGCTTACCGAAGGCCAATAACAACGCAGAAGAAGAGAGATGGAGGAGAGGAGGGAGTGAAACGAGGAAGCAAGGAATCCTGAACCGGAGTAGAGCGCAGCACGATGGAGGCCAAGAAGAAGAAGGAGGAGGAAGAGGAGGAAGGAGGCTGCGAAAGGCGTGTGAGCGGCGGAAGAGGTGGTACACGGAGTCTGATCACAGGAAACGAGCCGGAGGAGGGGGCAAAGTAGATCGCAATGAGGCAATCTCCATGGTAAGCCAGCTCGTAATGGAGAGCGGGGTGCAGCAATGCCGGCAGCAAGCCAGGGCAGCAAACCAGGCACCCCGTGACAAAAGCTCCGGCAGCGTGACGAACAGAGGAGGCGGGTCGTCACGGGACTCTCACGCCGTCATCGCTCCTCCACAGCAGCCAATCAGAAGAGGACGGGAAGCTGTGCAGTCTGCCAGCACACGGTCTCAAGGAAGTGCGTCATTCAATCAATCGTCGACCTCCCAGGCCGGCCAAAGCAGAGCGTAGCAGCGAGCGAACAATGTGGTATCCCTTAGGAGCGAGTCAGCCAGGTCGAATTATGCACCAAGTCGACGAGCGAAAGGAACCGTACTGAGTGCACGTCAGCAAAAAAGCCAGAAAGCGCGGAGCCTGAGCAAGCCGGCGCACTTGTACGCCCAGCTCAACCTTTATCAAAAGAGACTAGCCGAGTCCGACGCTGAAGAGGAAGCTGAGCAGTCTGCTGCAGCCACCAACAGCACGCCCTGGCTATATGATGTACGCCGTCCAGTCCTGACACACCGCTACCGCCCAAACAACAGCGCAGAACCCACTAATAAGGAACGGTAACCGCTCAACACTCTGAGAGCCCCACTCGCGCCCCACAAGGAGTGATATCACGTTTAAAGCGACCGGCACTGGAAGCGGGAAGACAGTGGCCGGTGGAGGTGGAGGGAGTGGCCGGAATAACACTCAACATCCTACCACACAGTTGGACAGACATGGAAACGGAAAGGAAGCTCGTCGTCCAAATACTGTCGGCGTCGTCAGAGTCCAGCGAGAAGGGGCGAGTGAGGAGGAGGGGCCATGAGAGGTCGAAGGGGACTGGAGGAAAGTGTGGAGCGGCAGCACTTCGACGGCCGGCCGCAGCTTCACCGACAAAATCAGAGGACGTGTGGGTTCGTCTGGAGAGACTGTCCGGTCAACAACCCGGCTGTTCCTCTTCCTGTTCAGCCCGCTCTCCACCGCCACCAACGCCCCACCTATCATCGACAGCCCGCCCCCTCAAAGATCCCGTCCTCCTCCTCTTCTCCTCCTCATAGAATACCTGCGTCAGCGCTGGATAGAGAAGCCTATATGACGACAAGCCGCCGCCCCCTTGACCGGAGCAACCACAACAACAGCAGCCGAGCCAGCGCGGTCAGAGCGCAGCGGTGCTGTGGCCGCTCGAGTCAGCCCTTTCAACTACACGCAAGCCCGAGGTAACGAGCAACGCCGATGTAACCACCAACTGCCACAGCAACCAGCACGCACCATTCATCATCACTACCCCCACACGACCTTCACTCATCCCACGCGTCTATCACACAAAAAACGGGAGCCAAAGGGTGGAGAGGGCGGCGGTGGCAACGTAGTGCGTGCAACGGTGGCCGGCAGCGTGGCGCGTCGAGCGGCGGCGGAAGGCGAGCACGAGCGCTCTGACATCAGTGACATCAGTGTGAAGAATCCGGACACAAAATGGCTGCCCCAGTTGGGACAGTGTAAATATGGAGAGAAGAAAAGTGTTTGTGAACTGAACTGTACAGGAAGTGAATCTGTATTTAAGTGCTAGCCACCACCCCCTACCTTACCTCATTGGCCCTATCGCTCTTCTATGTCAGTCAAGGCTTCTTTATTCAAAGAGAGAAAACTTTAAAAAAGAACTTTTTATGTTTTTACCATAAAAATGATGTGATAGCGCTAGCTCTGCTTCTGCCTGTGTCCCTGCATGGCCCCCCCCCACCTTAATGATGACAGTTACCATGGTGACATAACGATGATGATAATTGATCAATGTTCCTGCTAGCTGTAGCGTCTGAGCTTTATTCTGCTCTTCTGGAAGTTTTTCATGTTTTTTTGAATGGAGTTTGGTTCTGATGAAAAAAGTGAAGGTCTGAACTGTGATGAAAATTTCTTCTTTTTTTTTAACTGAAGATCTGATGAAAAAATTTAACTTTAAAAAATCTTAGAATTTCCTCATCTGAAATCAACCAGTTACATTTTTCTAACTGGATCTGGTCTCAGACCGGTTCAGACTGGTTCAGACCAGGACCTGGTAGCGTCACAGAAACAGGTTTTCCTACAGAACCTCACTCTTCACATCACAAACTGCTCTTTACTCCAGGGAGGGAAGTTTGCTGCGACTGAACTGTAGAAATTTAAAAACTGAAACACCTTGAAACTGGTTTGAGGAAACTGCTTGAAAAACTTCCCGCTCTGTGTCGCTTGGAAACTAATAACACCTGTAAAACGTAAGTTATTGCTGTAAAACCTTAAAACCTTTTAACTTTGAAGCACAATAATGTAAAACAAAATGATTTTTGCCAAAAATGTTTCCAACAGTTTTATTCATGGCTGTAA